TCCTCCCTTGTATGAGCTCTGGGGTTGTCCTGTTCTTTTTCTAGAATCTTGAAATATGGCAGAGAATTTATGTTTTTTGAAATACAGCTATAAATAAAGGATAATATAAAACTGAAGATGAGAGAAACAAAACCTGTATATTGACGAATTGGTCTCCATTTTGACAGTACCTTTGTGAGAAAATGTCTTTCCTAAATATTACACTATATTCAGGCCGGCCATGGTGGTACAGGCCTGTAATTGCAGCACTCTTGAGACTGAGGTAGGATTGTTGGGAGTTCGAAGCCAGCCTGGGCTACACAGTGAGTTCAAGGCCAGCCTGAACTACACAGCAATACCTGTCTCAAAAAGTACACTCACACACCTTGACTTTCAAAGACTCGGTTTTCCTTACGTGTATATTTTTCATTCAGTAGTATACTTTTTATTCTTCTACAGTATTTTGGTGACTATCAGTAAGATCTTCAATACAACAAAGGAAGTGTGTTGTTTTGTGTTGGTACCTAATATTGAACCTAAGCCCTTTACTGAGCTGCTTTTCTAGTACCCTCCCCCCTCATTTATTTTTTGTTTTGAGACAGGGTTTCACTGAGTCACTAAGGCTTGGCTCCAACTTCTGATCCTCCTTCCTTAACTTCCCAGACTGCTGGCATTACAGGCTTGTGCCACCATGCCTCACCGTGGAAGAATTTATATAAGGCTTGCTAAATGCAGCTTTTATTTTTTATTAAATGGATTCAGCTGCGTGTGGTGGTATGCAGCACTCAAGAAGCTGAGGCAAGAGGATCCCCACAGGTCCCAGGCCAACCTGGGCTTCATAGTGAGTTCTGGGGCAGCCTGAACTACGTCTTGTGCGACCCTTTCTCAAAACAACCAAAAAATGTATTCAGAATAATTAGTTTAATTATGTTACTTTTGAAATTAAATACTGCCACTGTACTATTCTCAGTGGTTTAATAATGTGTCTTGTATAGCCTTTTAATTTGTAAAATTGTATCAATAATATGTGCTCATTATGAAAACTAGGAAATATACACATTAGCTAGATTTATTATCAGTATTTTTGGAAACTAAACTTCAACTGTTTGCCTATACAGTACATTGCTATATTTATTTTCCATATCATTTTGTACTTTATGGACATTCTTCCACGGTAATAAACATAAATGAGTCGTCATTTTAATGGCTGATGCTATGGTTTGAACATTGCTTTTCCCCTCAAACTCATGCTGAAGTTGGACTGCCATCCTGGCAGTGTTGGGAGATGAGGCCTTGAGCTGATTGTCTCCTTCAGAGGAGTTAATTCCTTCACTGTGGGTCTGGAGCTGTTACTGCAGGAGAGCTTTGTCATGGAGCGAGGCCACTCATGTTCAGTCTTGGCTTTGTGTGCTCACTTCTCTATCTACTTCTTGGCCATGCCCTATGTCTTAAGTATGATAAATATTTATTATACTGTGTATGTATAAGGGTTTGCTTAATTTTCCCAGTAGTAATGTCAAAGAGCATACACTTAGCTTTGTCAGAATTAGCTCAGTAGTCATTAGTGTTTAAAAATTATTTGCCAAGGACCTATGTCAAAATTTGTTTTTAAATTTATCCTGGTTTGCACTTGTTTTTGTTGTTTGTGGTTGAACAGTTTTGTTTTTCATTGGTGAATTACTGTTCGTTTTCCAAGTATTCTTTATATAATAAAGATTCCTACATTTGTGTTTTTATTCTTTAATTTTCATGATATCTAACTTAAAATCTTTTCTAATTTCACTTGTTAAACTTAATGGATGGATTATGTTGATTCCTTACCAAAGTATTATAAAAATCTTCACCCCTATATCATTCAAATATTTTCATGGTTTATTTTTATCCATATGTAACTTCTTATGGTATAACTTGCTCAAATAGCAACCACATCTCACAACTCCAGGCAGTACCATTTACTGTTCTCTCGGATATGATTTGAACTGTGCTTCCTGGAGTTGTGAAATTCATTGACCCTAGGAATGGATAAGCATTTCACTTTATTTTTCCATAGTCCCTTTCTTTTCCCCAACACCAGTTTTTATGTATCTCATTATTTCACAGTAATTCTTTTATTTGCCTGAGTCTTTTATGGACTTCCTGTTGTAGTTCAGTTTTCTTTGCATTTAAATTTTCCTTTTTTAAATGTTGGGATTACATTTTAAATTATTTTACTTATTTTTTACTTACAACTATTTGCAGCTAGATTTTTTCCAGTGCTTTGTTTTTTGTAGTTTTTAAGTAGGAAACAGACTCAAATATATATATCTTCCATTTAGTTTTTTTTAAAAAGTCTTTATCTAACTTGTTGGTATATCTCTAATCCTGCATTTGAAACATATTGCGACTTTACTGTAGTTTTTCAATTTGAATTATTTTCTATTAAGTATTATATAGTACATTAAGTCCCATTGAAGTGTGTCTGATTGAAGATTTGCTATGATCGGGGCATGAAAATGAATGGAATTGTACTTTAGGAAGAGAAAAATGGAAATTACAGTGGACCCTTGACTTATGAACTCGATTGGTTCCTGAGGGCTGGTTGTAACTCAAGTTGGCTGTAAGTCAATACAGCTCTGAGTGTTAACTTGGGTACACGCTATAGATAACAAGAGGCAGATGGATCTTCCATTAACATGATTAACCTAAGCTGTTCTTGTGTCAGGCTGGTCGTAACTTGAGGGTCCACTGTATTGGTAGCCTCTGCTATGGTTTTGCACTCCATGGTGGTCTAGGTATTAGGGTTCAAAACTATAAAATGATAGAAATAGAAAGTGAAAATGTTTTTTAGATTCCCTCGGGTAGTATTTAAATCTAGAAAGATGTGCAGTGGTCTTTTAGATTGGATTGCAATTTTGGGGGGCCTGGAGAAAAAAGTGACTATAACCCGTTTTCCTGCCTTATCTCTGTCTGCTTCAATATTTATAGTCGGTTACCAACCAAATGGACTTGTTCCCTGGTCTCATTTCTGTGTAAATATTTGGTTGTGTCTCTGCCTGATGACGGTCCCTCTTGCCCTAATGCCATCAGCCAGTCTCATCCCTCAGTAAAAGTTCATTTCCAGGGCCGTTTCTTTCTGCAGCTTTTGCTCCTTTTCCTTTGAACCCCATTACGCTTTGTTTGTACTTTCATTATCTTTTGCCTTATGATACTGATGTTGGCATATTTGTCTTATCTCCATTGCTTTGTAAACATACACAACCTAAGTCTTTTGTGAAATGTTCACATTTGATGTGGGCGCTAAGCACTATCATAATGGTCCATTTAAAGATACTTTTGTAATTCTTTTTTGTTTTTAGTGTGTACAAGATAACAAACTTGTATACTGTAGTAATTAGAATTTCTGATTACTGCTGCTTGACAGTGCTAGGTGTTTTGTGAATCTACCTACTAGATCTTATGATGTGTTCTTCATTACGTTCTTAGGACCATGTATGAAATTTGAGAAATTGTATAAAACACATATATGTATGTATTTATTAATATAAATGGTCTGTTAGAAGAATACTACATTTAAAAATCATAGGTTCTTCCGGCTTGAAAACAGGTTAGGTAGAACTCTTGAAGGCACTGGTGTAGGAAAAGATTTTATGAACAAAACCTCAGTTGCCCATGAACTAGCACAATCAGCCAACAAGTCGAATCTCTTCTTACTAAAAAGCTTCTGCACAGCAAAGAAACCACCAACAGTGTGAAGAGACAACCCACAATGTGGGAAAAAATTTTCATCAGCTGTCCCTCAGACAAAGGTCTACTATCTAGAATCTATAAAGAACTTAAAGAAATCAGTCCTCCCAAATTTAAAGACCCAATCCAAAAATGAGCATCTGAAATGAACAGACATTTCTCAGACAAAGAAGTAGAAATAGCAAGTAAACATAGGAAAACATGTTCAATCTCACTGGTCATTCGAGAGATGCAGATGAAAACAACTCTGAGCAACTCCTGTGCCCCAGAGCCACTCTGCTGCAGGCGCCCTGCCCTGCGGCATGGCCAAGCCCCCCCCCGCCCCCACCAGGACCCCAGCGAGGTGCCCAGAACGCAGCAGTGCTGGAAGCTTGTCGAGAACCTCGAGGCCACTATTCAGCAGTTCCAGTGCCACCCCAGGTAACCTGTGGGAGCCGCAGCGCCACGTGTGCAGCCCTGCCTGGAGGCTCTAGGCCTGGGAGCCACAGCTTCATGTCTTAAACGTGCCAACTCTGGAGCCCAATTGCCAGGGTTCAAATCCTGCCCACCCTCTCCCAGGGATTGAGTTAGGCAAGAAATACCATTTCAGATGATCTAAAAGTTGGCTTTTTCCTTACAGACCATGCTACACAAACATATGCCAGTGAAATTTTGCTTCTGAAAGAGCTAAGTTCATCTACACAAAAGTTAGTGCAGGTTGTTACATCCCTTCAGGTGGATTTTAGGTTCCTTAAAGAATTGGTTCAATTGAAGTTTGAGGAACGACTTAAAGAGGAGTCTTCTAATATCTCCATCGCTCTGTATGACAGGATCCTAGAGATGGAAAAACAATCAACAGAATGAGGAGAACATGAGAAAATGCTTTCAGCAGCAGTTAGCTGATGCCATTGCTGTCATCAAAGGGATGTACCAGCAATTCTTTGATGTAGCGGAAGAGGAAACTGCTTTGAATGATGCAGAAAATGTCAGATTAAGTGTTTTGTCAAGAAAACTGAGAGAGAAGGAAGAAATTATTAAGGAATTAAGAGAAGAACTGTATCAGTGTGAAGGATTTCAAAAACTTGACTTTTTGGCGAGACCAGCTCTTCCAAATCAACCTTAGAAAGGGAGATTGGGAGTACAAAACAGAAAATGAGAGACTGCTCAAAGTTGTTGAAGAACTTGAAGAAGAAGTCAAACTCAATATAAAAGAAAATTCAGCATTAGAAGATGAACTTAAAAGTCTGAAAGAGATTTCAGAACAGAATCAGAGAACCATTCACAAGTTAATGGATAGTAGAGAAGATTATGATATGAGCTTGATTGTGAAAAAGTATTAGTTCAAGATATGATCAATAAGTACAAAGAGGACTCAGACATATATGCCAGGAACCTGAAATCATCCAAGAAGAGGGAACCCTCTTTATCTCTGTGGCAGTCACAGCCCAGGAGCATGACATATCCAAGGGCAACTTCTGGTTCCATGGGTACACAGCCTGTCAGAGCGAAGAAATCTAAACTTTCATTGAAGAAAATTCCAAGGCCAGAGCAGGCAGTGGACATTTCAGATCTCTCTCACGTTGGCTCCAAGACCAGGCTTAAGACCCGCAACGTTGACAGAGACAAGGCCACCAAGAGTGACAATAAAACAAAAGACCTTTTGGATGAAGGAACCAACTTGAGGAAGAAGGTTAAATCTAAAACAGCTGTGGTGCATGCAGAAGGGACAGTGGAAGTATCATTCTCTAAGGATGAAGACGAAGCTTTGAAGACAAAAATAGAAACATTAAAGGCTGATTTAGAGAATGTGAAAAAGAAATGTGATTTAGAAAGGAATCAGAACAAATAAGCAAAAACTGGGAGAAGAGATTCTTTATTCTCAGAAACAGCTTTCATGCCCTTAAGAATGAGATGTTCACCAGGCACACACTGTTTTGTCAGTTTGCAATACCCGCTGATACGTCCTTCAATTATGTTAAAGCAAAACCCTTATATGTGCAGTCCACAGTGAACTTGATGGATACCGCATCTTCTTCAAGTAATCATTTCCCTTCACTAGACAAGAAGTACGTGGACGCAATGAATGATCAGCCATTTTCCTCAAAAGCCTTTATGCAGCCTTTGAAGAAGTCATCCATACTGCAGAGCAGCCCCAGGCAAGATGCGAACCCACCCAATTAACCAGGCAGGAAATTGGGCAGAGCAGAGGCCAGAAAAGGGCCTGTCTTCATCTTGGCCCCAGAACAGTCTGCCTCCCTGGCCAAGGAACTTCTGTCTCCAAGCCATTTCCAGACTGACTATTCCATTTCTCTGTATTACACACACTATTGGAGCACTGAACTTTAGAACTCAGCGTGCGCCCTTTCGGGCACAGCTTTCCAAGCCTTGAGGAAACACTTGCAGTGCTGTGTGATGGTTGAGCTGGACTGGCTGAGCACACAGACCCTGAGGGGTGGTCAGATCCACTCTGTGCTTCCAGGCTCAGGGCTGTGCGGAGTGCCTAAAGGTGCAAAAGATTGGACTTCCATTAAAAAGTTCAAGGCATTTAACGCAAAAAAAAAAAGAAAGAAAGAAAACAATGCTGAGATTCCACCTCACCCCAGAAAGAATGGCTGCTATCATGAAATCAACCAATAACAAATGTTGGCAGGGTTGTGGGGAGAAAGGAACCCTTCTCCACTGCTGGTGGGGGTGCAGACTGGTGCAACCACTGTGGAAATCAGTATGGAGATACCTCAAAGAACTAGGACTGGAAGTCCCATTTGACCCAGCTATTCCTCTGCTGGGGATCTTCCCCAAAGAATTAAAAAAATCATATCACAATAATATATGTGCACCCATGTTCATAGAAGCACAATTTGTAATAACTAAAACTTGGAAGCAGTCCAGTTGCTCATCAACTGAAGACTGGATAAAGAAAATGTACTTTTTTTACTCAGCCATAAAAAATGAGAAATTACAGACATTTATAGCTAAATGGATGCACACTGAGGCAATGCTCTTAAGTGAAATAAATAGGACACACGTGTAAATACCGAATAGTTTCTCTAGTGTGAGAAACAAAGTCTAAGTAAGGACTAAAAGGTTTTATGGATAATGTGAAATAGGAAGAAAAGGGGCAAAGGGGAAGGAAGTGGGAGGGGTTGGGGAAAGGAAAGAAGGGAATGGAATTAATATGAGAAAAGGAAAAAATGGAAACAAACTCTTTGTAAATAGGGAGGGATGGAGGGGTTGAAGGGAGGGCAGGGGAAGGGGGAAAAAATAAGAACCAAGAGAGATTATGTAAAGGTGCAAGTTTCCAATGATGAATGTCATTATATTGTATACCTAAAATGTACCAATAAAATTAATAAAAAAATAAAAATAATAGGTTCTTATGCCTTATTTCCTGTATTTACAATGGTGATAAAATATTTCTATGGTGCTCATTGGGAGTTCAGAACAGTTTTTTTCTCCTTTTTAGCTTTTATTGTATCCATTCTGGAATCATCAGTAGAAAGATGTTTTAATGAGAATCAGGCCTTTCAGACAAAGTAGATTTTTAAGTTAGTTAATGAAAGTTGACTTCTTAGCCTGTCATTTTAGAATTCAGTAACAGCCAATTCTGCATGAGAGTGGGGTGCACTGTAGGGATGTTGATCTTTCTCTAAGGTCAGGTGGCTGTTTAGTTTTAGGTTGAGATTTAACCATTTCTCTGCCAATGTTTTTTTTTTTTCCAGAAGTTTGTTGAGACAGAATATTTCTGGACAGTTTTTCTTTTGAAGGTAAATTATTCCTTGCATTTCTCTTCATTATCAAATCTCTGAAGGTTAGGAGGTGAGGGAAGGGGAGGAGTAAGACCATCAGAATCACCTGGAGACCTAAAGAAAGGTTTTTAAGAGCACTTCTCTTAGCTCGGGTGGTGCACACCTGTAGTCCCAGTACTTTGGGAGGCTGAGATAGGAGCATCGCAACTTTAAACCTGGCCTGGGCAGTTTGACAACTTAGCAAGATGTTGTCTCAAAATAAAAAGAAAAAAAGGGGCCTGGGGATGCAGTTCAGTGTGAAGGTCCCGGTTTTAATCCCCAGCACTGAATAAAGCTCCCCAAAACAAAAACAAAATCTGTCATCTTCTTTTCAATTAGAAATATCCACCTTTCTTCCCAACCAGTTTGATCTCTTAGAAGAGTGTCACAGAATTTGTATTAAAGACTGTATCTTTAGATTAAACCAGAATTTTTGAGGATCTTATACAGTATCTGGAAAACATTTTGTTACTGATTCTCATGTAATTCTTTTTCCTAAATTTCCCTTTAGTTTGATTTCATTATTTTACATTGAGGAAAATGGTAATCATCACTGTTATGAAACTGCTCATTTTCTTTTCTGTAAGGTTGTTTGGGCCATTTTTATACATTGGGGGATATAAGAAACCACATGAAACTTACATTATATTAGAGTTATGGAAAATGTTGTTTACACATTGTATATTTTCTGAAAAGACCCATGAGAGACATTGCTTTCTGGTCTTAGTAATGGTTGTAGTTTTTATTACTGTTGAGCAGCTAGAGGGTTTTTATCTTATCAACTTAGAGTTATGTAATCAACTCCTTTTTTTCCTTTCCAAATGACCCACTAGAAAGTGCAGGGAACAAAATTTACAGCTCGCTCTTATAAGAATGGAGGACTTACTAATAAGTATTTTACATTTTCATTTCATGTAGGGTTTTAAAAATATTTTTAATTCTTGTCATCTTCCTTGCTCTGATCTTACTACTTATTTTTTCATTTAATTGTACCTAAAATTTTGTTTTAAAAATTTGTCTTACATACATGTTCCTCAACCTCAAAAAGGGTTGCATTTTGATTGACTCATTTTAAATTGAAAATATTGTTAAGTCAAAAATGCATTTCAATTCTAACCTACTGGACATCATTGCCTCGTCTAGTCTACCTAATAGAATGTGTGTATTCACCTCTAGTTGGGGAAAATCATCTGATATAAAGTCTATTTTATAATAAAGTGACAAATATCTCTTGTAATCTATTGATATTTGTATTGTTAAAATGCCGGCAACACAGTACACTGTAAAGTATTGGGTGTTACATATGACATTTACCAGTTTTATTTGCCAGCTTTCTTCCTAATACAATAATTTTTAATTTTGAGTTGCACAATCCTTGGAGGATCTTACTGAATTTTCAAATTTTGCTCCAAGAAATAGACATATAAACACCTGTGACATTTTGCTTCCAATTTCAGGCACTTACAAAACTTCAGGAAACCTTATACCAACTCATTGTCTATCTGGAGTATATTATTTAGAAATTATTTTCTATAAGGTGACTTTATCCAGTGACCGTAGCTATTGTGAACTGTTGTCTCTGTATCTTTAAGTTAAATTTACTAGCAGCACATTTTCAATAATATGTACTAAGCTATTACAGGTCGTTTCTATGATTTGATTAATAAAAATGCTTAAAGAGTTATAACAGAGTCTGGTAAATTTGTTTTAGCAAAAGGATTAGTAAGAAATGTTCTTAGAGCGAGATATGGTGGTACCTGTAATGCCAGCAGTAGAGAGGCTGAGGCAGGAGGATTGCTGTGAGTTTGAGGCCAGCCTGGGCTGCATAGGAAGACCTTGTTTCAAAAAACCAAAAGCAAAAAAATATTCTTAGAATAGTGATTTTTTTTTTTTTTTTTTTGGTACTGGGGATCGAACTTGGGTCCTTGCACTTACGCAGCAGGTGGCGAAACCACTGAGCTAAATCCCCGGCCCCAAGAATAGTGATTTTTGTAGTACTGATTGAAGTGTTTATTAAGAATTAGTGTTATTTAACCTATTATAAAGCAGAATAGGAAATTAAAGAATGTCATAAAATTATCGAAAAATAATTTTGTCGAAGCAAAGGAAGTAACAATAAAAATGGAAAAATGTTTGACTCAAACTTAAACCTGAATGACATATGTTCCGAACACACAAAATATAGTTTTGTCGTGTTTCCAGTGTAAAATTATTTTAGAAGTAATTCTTAGGGGCCGGGGATTTAGCTCAGTGGTGCTGGCACCTACCTGACAAGTGCAAGGTCCTGAGTTTGATTCCTGGTACCAAAAAAAAGAGTAATTCTTACCCTCTGTGTCTACTATCATATCTTGTATTAAAATGAGCAAATATACTCAATAAGAATATTTATGATTAGAATAGGATAATCTAATTGCAAATGGTAGCCATACAAATGTTTCATGTTTGGTACTATTTTATCTTCTGAGAGTAGATGGGTTTTAAAAGAAACTTTTTGTCTAAATAACTTATTTTTCAAAAACAAAATTTGTGTTCCTAGGAAGCTCATGTTGTACTATAGTATGTGTAATCCAATTAAAATTTAACTAATTAAAATGAATTAGACTTTTCATTTTTTTTCTCCAGGAAGGCAATATGTTCTGAATTGAGTTCTGAGCTGTGATTGTACCTTTTCATTTAGTACTTACCTGAATGTCAACCTGATAGAATCTAGCTTCTGACACCCAAAGTAGTGAGTCTTACTTGATTTTAGTGCCTTGGCTATTGCTGCCCAGGGAAGCCTTGAACTTCTGGGTACAAGCCACCCACTTGCCTCATTTTCTCTACTGGTATTATCTGGGACTACAGGTGTGTGTCACTGTGTATGGCTTTAAGTAGTGTTTCTTAAACTGTGGCACACACGGGCTGGGGATTTAGCTCAGTGGTTTCGTTGCCTGCTGCGCAAGTGCAAGGACCCGAGTTCGATCCCTGGTACCAAATAAATAAACAAACAAACTGTGGCACACAAACCACCTGAGAGTACTTATTTAAAACAGTGTTTTAGGTGCTGATTAATCAGAGGAAGGGCTCAGGAATTGGTATTTTAAACAAGCACTGTAGAGGATTCTGATATAGAAACCCTGTTCTAGGCAAGATACAATACTAGGTCAGAAGCTTTAAAATTATTCATTTTTCCATTCTGCTAATATTTACTGACCAGTTAAGAGTATATCAGGCACTTACTTGGAAAGTATTTTGAAAGTTTAATTTAACTATTAGTTGTGAATTTAAATCAGTTTTATAAAGTTATTAGGCTATAGTTTGCTAGCATTTTGTTCAGTACCAAAAGACAATGAATTTTTTTATCATTAATTAAGTTTATTGGTACAATTTAGATATACATAATGATTGCATTCATTGTATGGAATTTGTACCTGTACATGATATATCTTGATGCATATTTTTTCCCATTCCCCTTCGATCCCTCTTCCCCATCTAATTTAGAAGTTGTTTCCATTTTATCTTTCTTTTCTCACTTTTTCTTTCTTCCTTTCCCTCTCTCTCCTCCCTTGTGCCCCTTCCCATTTGAACATTTTCTTCCTATTTCACAATATCTATTATACATTATTTATACTTTGCTTCTCACACCAGAGAAACAATGAAATATTTACATGTGTGTCCGATTTATTTTTCTTAAGAGTATAATCTCTAGGTACATTGATTTAGCTATAAATGTCTCAAGTTTATCCTTCTTTATGGCTGAGTAGTACTCCTTTGTATAAAAAACACATCTCCTTTATCCATTC